TACTACTACTACTACTACTACGACTACGACTACGACCACGACTACTACTACTACTACTACTACTACTACTACTACTACGACTACGGCTACTACTACTACTACTACTACTACTACTACTACTACTACAATTACAGGCAGTGGTGGGATGGCAGGGGGCCGTGGACCGTGGACGCAGGGCAGGCTGGGGGCGGGTGGCTGCCTTTATTATTTGTTCATCCCCTTTCCCTCACAGGCACTGGTAGTATTTTGGGACCGGAAGAGGTTCCCCCCACAGCCACTATTATTAGTGTGAGACCGGGGACAAGAATAATGATAATGCCCCCAAGGGGGAAGGGAGCAAATATAATAAAGGCCCGCCGGGCTCCGTCCATTTTTTCTTCGCATGCTTCCTGCTGTCAAGGACGGGGAACTCTGTCCGGGCTCTCCTTCGGCGGAGTCGGCTCGTCGCATCGCTCCCTGCGGCGTCAGCTCGAAGCCGAACAAACAAACACGAGATAGCACAGATCTTTGTGCAGACAACACAAAAATATGTGGACAGACAGGGGGAAGCCTCGGCGTCGTCTCCGTTTGCGTCTGGCAGGGCACTGCTTCTCGAAGCGGAGAACCTCGAGGGTCCCAGAGAAGATCCCCACAAGGCAGAAGCGGGGACGGGCCGGAATTTCCCCACAACGTCCTTCCAGTCACGACACCTGCAAGAGGGGACCAGCCACTCGTCGCAGCTTTGGCACATTACGAGTCACGGTCGTGCGACTTTTGCTGTCTGCTCAGTGAAACCGAAGAGCCAAGCGTCTTAAGCTGTACAAACTGAATGGGCCATCAACTTCCGTGCAACGACATTACATCATCCTATACAAACGCTTGACGAGGCCTCAACAGAAAAGCCCTGACTGACTTTGAGAGTATTTTGTGTCAAGCCTTCTGCCTGATATCGCTGAGTCAACAAGCCTGGAAATTCCAATAGTCGCTCCTGCTCTGCTTGGCTCACGGCTAGGAGGCGAGCTATGCCGTCGAAGTTCGTCCCTCGCAATGCTGGAAGTCGACGTAAACTCCACACCCGGGTCACCCACAGGATGCCAAGTGCCGTCCATCACCAACTTAATCAACAACCCGGCAACCCGATCAAAGAACGAGCAACGCGAGGCCTCGGCGTGGCCTCCACCACTGGCCGACGCAGCTCCTGTCGACTTTAGACCCTTTTGCGCTCCACTTGGAACCTGCGATGAATGCAGCTGAGATTAGAGAGTGTCATGCGCTGACTGCCCTGGTGGCGTGTGGGGCACGGCGCCTCTTCAGCGGGAGCCTTTGTCAGCCAGGCCGGCGGAGGCGCCTCTGGCAGGGACGGCGGCGGGGCCGCGCTTTTCGTCTACGAAAATGCTGCTTTCGATGCTGCACCGCACGGCCCGCAGGGCTTTCGAAGGCGCTCGAAGGCCTCCCGACCCACTGCTGCCGGGGCCACGGAAACCTGGAGCAAGCAAGACAAGCAAGAGTACACCGAGTCTGCTAGCTCCGTGCGGTATCGTGCGGTGACGAGCGCAATTGAACTTGCTACAGCCAGCCCTGATGAAAGCTTGGTGGCTCAGTGCCGAGATGTCCCGACTTCGACTGACCTCAGCCCACTGGATCTGCTCGAGGTCGATGCACAAGTCCTACGAAGATGCGGTGAGAAAGTATTCCAAAGGCGGTTCTGTGGGGACTGGGGGGTAGAGCATGGCTTGGAAGGCGGTCGGAGTGCTGGATTTCGCGATCCGAGCTTTTCGTCATGAGCCACCATCATCCTAATCATCTCCGTGTAGCAGAATCTTACAAGCTCTTCCCTCAGCGGCTAGCGGCCTCAAGCGTGGGATCCAAATGGGCGCAGGGCCTCCAAGCAGAGAGGCTCGTGCAGGGCAGTGCAGGGTGGGACCCTCGCGGCCTGGCCTGCAGTACTCCAGGACCACCTCGGCGAGATCCCTGCGTTGGAGCTTGCTGAGGCCCGAAGACCTCGGAAGGCTCTTTCATGGCTCTCGCCGCCATCATCACCGTAAATCACCGCCACCAAGAACAACATCGTCACCACGCAGCAATCAAACCCTTCACTCTGCCTACCCCGTCACCAAGCCACTGTACCATGACTACGACCAGTGCAGCAGCCCGGAGCATCACGGTCAAGTCGAAGACTATCAAGATGATCGAGAGAACGCCCGTGTCACCCTATTCCCGGGCCGTCATCATCATCATCATCATCATCATCATCATCAACTTCACGCCGTGCCATCATTTGCCATCATCATCATCATCATCGCCATCATCATCACCGCCATCCGCGTCTGGATGCTGGGGCACTATAGAGAACATCACAACTTCCGCCATCATCATGATTGCCGTCATTCAGGCACCACCATGCAGCGTCACGTCGTCATCGCGAAAATTGCATCAGAAGAGTTGGTCGTTGGGCGTTTCGCCGCTCCCTTTTTGAACCAGCAACCTAAACCCAGGTCTTGCCGGGCGGAGGCTGTGTCTTTGACACTGCCACTTCGGTTTCAAGCCCTGTCAGGGAACCCGAACAGGATAAACAAAACTCCCGAAGAAAGCCGACATGTGCCGACAAACTCTGCCCTGCCTCAAGCTTAATTAATTACTATCACTGCTCTCGCACGGTGGTTGGGATGTAGCCTTCCTCTTGAAAGAAGTCTGCGATTGGAGTGGAGTGCAAGACAGTCGGGAGTGGTGTCAAAGATGGCCTCGCAGCGGCAAGGGCTTGACGCCAAAGTCCCCAAAAGCTATGACAGGAGCTCGAGGCTTTTGTTGTTCGGCTCTCCTGCCTCAGTCTCGATATCCCAATCACTGGTAGAAAAGCCGGGCGCCACCACCGTGCGCCGTGCGCACGGCTCGTCCCGGGTAGCCACCATAAGGCCATTCCACTCATCCACCGTGTCCATCCCTTTCTTCAGGAGCAGCGTGCTGTCCATGGTGTCTCCATCCGGCTCAATCTTCTCTGTTTTCAGTTTGCCGGGTACCAAACTTCTTCGAACTCAGCCGCATTTTCGGGGAGAACCATGTTCAGCAGCTAGGCTTCTTCGTAGGACTCCGCTAAAGTTGCTGCCACGATGTCCAGTGAGCACATGGACGCATTTGGAATGTCTCGGTTCACGTTGAACGATGGCATTCTGCTCAGAGCAGGAATCAGAAACTGCACAGCACACAGCCCCACGTAATTTGGATATGCGCAAAGGCGGCTGCGTGGTGACTTCATGACCCTGAACTCCTTGTTGCGCTTCAATCAAGCTGTACCGCCGGATTTTACTATGATGCAGACCAGGCTATCACTGGGTCGCGGGAGCTTGGCAATGAACGAGAACACCACGTCGCGCTCGGTGTCAATGCAAGGAGGCGTCGACTGGCCATAGTATCCGTGGTGCTTGAAGCTCGTGCGCTTGAAGCCCGAACCACTTCTTCATTGGCCCTCCAGACTTTGGTTGTGGGGCAATGGCCAAGAGCGCCTGCTCCTCCGTCTCAGCGGCACACCTATCAAGATCTGTTTGAGAGATTGTATCAACTTTTGAGTGGTGTGCAGGCGGCAAGGGCAAGCTTGGGGCTAAGGAGAGGGCTTACAGGAGGTGTTCACTCTGGAGCGCACAGCCGCTTGCCTCGTTTGGCTCTGACACTCCGCCGTGGCCAGGACGCTCGAAATCATGAACAGGCAGACTGTTGCCGCGTTGACACGCAGCAAAGAGCAAGTGATCGTATGAGCTTCACGGCTGGGGTGCGCAAAACTGTTGAGACAGGACTGGTGTCGGGCCGCGGCTCCGTTTGAACCGGGCGAAGGGCTTGGTGCAAGACATGCCAAACTGACAGACTTGAGCTCCCGGGCCAGTTGAAAGTCTTCGCACCCAGTCCTGCCAGAGACTGGCTCAACGCTCGGACCTGCGAGGGGCGCCGGCACCGTGATGCCGCCGAAGCGTTCTTGAAAGATCTTGAAAGACTAGAGAGCCCTCATTGAAACTCTCAGAAGGCTCTTGGATCTCGGGCTCTTGTCATCAACTAAAGTCTCGGTGCAGTTGCAAGGCTTTCGCGGCCAGGGCCTGAACGACCAAGCAGAGTGGACTCCAAATGTCTTGCAGATGCCCAGGCGAAGACAGAGCTGGAGCTGAAGAGCTATGACGCATCGTGGGCCGAACCAGGCCCCCTCCGGCCCCCCGGCACCTGGAGGTTCAGCACCGGGCAGCGGCCTGGACTCAGTAACTTCAAAGCCGTGGTGCCCTGTGGTACTAAGCGCAGAACGGTACCAGAAACGTGTGGCTCTCGGCTCTCCACACGATCCCTCCTAAGCTCGCATCTGAACTGAGGCTCCGGCTGCACATCGCGGGCTGCACCTGCGACATCCGCACAGCTTTGAATCTGGGGGCTTGCAGCCGTGGGCTTCCGGCCCGAAACGGAGTAGTCACTCAGGAGCTCTATCGATCCTTATGCTCTGAAAGCATCTCGGGTCAGATGCTACGTCGAGCCCAAAGCTGCCACAGGACGAATCTCAAACTTAAAAGCGTCATGTGCGTCTAAACCCCATTCGTTGAACTGCTCTGGATTCCACGCTGACAAAGCATGCGAGCCGAAGGTGCGCGTGACGCTCGAATCTCTCGCAGTACACTTGACATGAAACTACATGTCCGCCAAGTCTTAGGGAAATGCCTTGAAGCCTCTATCGAAAGACACAACATGGCCTTTGCAGCTGCATACGGCTGCGCTGGCACTGGCGCTGCCTTGGCTGCCATCGGCATCACCAGGTTGGGTTGGATTCTGGGCGGAAGCGAAGATCAAACTCCGATGGTGGTGCCATTGCTTACCTGCTGTCCAGTGCCCGGCAGTTTG